GGAGCCTGGAGAGCTTCTTCAGAGGGTATTTGGCCTACTCTTCCATGCTGGGCAGACGTCTTGGAAGAGGTTGGGGTGCCCACGCTTTACCCCACCGCACACGCGACCTACCGATAGACCAACCGTGGTTTGGGAGTGGGGAGGCAATGCAAGACACTTGGCAATTGCTTCAGATTCAGAGCGGAGAGACGAAACTGTGGACCTCTGAATCACAAGTCCAGGGTGCTACCCGTTACGTCGCGACGGCATCCCCACACAGCTGCAGCACCTCGTCCCATATCAGTTTGGGCCCCAGGATCCCTGTGCTGACGATGAGGTCATCAGCCCCTCTGAGCCACCGAGAGCCACGTTTTTACGGTTGCTATTTTAATGCCACAATCATGACGACTCTGTGTGCTTCTACATTGCTCCCTGCTTTGTCACCTCGTCTGAGCACTCTGTTTTGTGTGTCCCTTCTCTCTGCCCCCTGATCACCGCGTGAACCCCCCTGTTCCCTTCCGCAGACCATTTTCGAGCTTTTCCAAGGTGAACAAGCTCATCGAAGACCTGCAGCTCGCCAAAAGGTATCGCAACGTCACCCGAACAATCCCTCCTCCAACCGTTCCCCGAGTATCTCTCCTCCAGCCGTTCCCCGAGTGCGGATGCTGAACTCACAGCCGCGCCTCTTTGGGGCGCCACGGTGGCGAGATGTTAATTACCTCGCCTGGTATACAGGAGGGTCGTGGGTTCGATCCCGACCCTGACACCTGCTGTGTATGTGGAGTTTTGCATGTTCTCCCCGTGGTCGTGTCGATTTTTGTCCGGGTCCTCCGGTTTTTCTCTCCGCATTTAAAATAATGCGATAATTTGGCTGCTATAAATTTCCACATGCTATGCCGCTTTGTTAAGCTATCATTTGTGGCCAGTTCGCTTCTTTAAAAAGAGCTATATGGTTCAGTGGGCTTTACCTGGTATAATAAAAATTGGTATTTTTTGTTAATGCCAGACTTTGCGAGTCAGGCCAAGTCGGGGAGTCAACCGCTAACCATTTCTGGGAGGCATGGCAATAATCTGGGGTATCAAAGAACGAGTGGCGTTGTTCCCTAGAGAAGGCCATTGTGTGTTAGTGTAAGGGAATATCGCACAATAGAAAATTATGCTCATCGAAGGATTAATACGGAAGTCAATACAGCACCATTCATACACGCACACACACACGCACACACAGACACAAAAAGACAAAGATCCCCCGTATAGCCTGAACAGACTGTAGGGGCAAGTGCTGTTAGCGAGCACCTATGAAGGCCGGAACGGTACACGAGGGGGTGGGTGGCCAGCACCACGCCCGACCGCCTTCGTCTCCCTAGTGGCGATGTTTACACACCGCACCAGGTATTCATTTAAGGCTGAGTCGACCTAGGGGAGGCCCAGGACCGGTTCAGATAATCGTCACTGGTGTTAGCCGTGAGCAGGAATCGAACCCGGGTCGCCAGGTTCATAGCGCAGCGCGCTAACCGCTACACCACCGCTCCCCACACACACACGCATGCACACGTGTATACACTCTATGTGAGCCCATTGAGACTGAAAGTTGCCCCGTAAGGTGTGAGCCATGTAAAAACAATGAAACGTAACTCACGGCTGCTCTGCAGGTGTTCGTGGTGGTCGTGTTGTACGGCTCCCCGGTGTGTTTTCGGGTTGTATCACTTGTTCATTCCACTTTGTGTACGACACTTCACCCCACCTGCCAGGAACTTGAACTCTGTTCCGGACAAAGCTACCGGCACGTGGGGCTAAACGCTGTAGACATCATGCCGAACAGCACATGGTACAACCCGAAATCTCGTCCATGACAGAGGTTTTTTTTTGGGTTAGATCACGTAAATATAGATGTGTTGTTAAACCCGCCACCACCCGACGACAAGGCCAATGAGTAAGGTTTGTCAGGCAAACAAAACGTGCCAATTCGTTACTAGTTCAGCACACCGGTGTGTTTGAGAGTAAACCCACAACATTTATAATTCGAGTACCGAGACGTTTCGCCGGTAATTACAACCAGCCTCATCAGGCGACAGCCAGAGTTGTGGAGAAATCCTCCTGTTTCGATCCTGAATAGAGGGGGTAAATTACAGAAAATGTATAACCTACACATTCAAAGCATGGTATGGCAAAATATATTTTTTGTAATATATATCTAAATAAATGTGAACATCGGTAAAGTCACGTAGAAGGGAAATAATAAAATAATAAAATATTGTTATATCATGTTTTACTTTTATTATTTCCCTTCTACGTGACTTTTAATATTATGTTTTATTTTTATAATTTTATTATTCCATTCTACGTGACTTTACCGAAAGAACCAAGAAGATGAATCCCTGCAGTCACGAAAGCTTTAAATCGAAATGTGAACATGTTCAACAATTAGGCTTGGCACAATTTTAAAACAATCACCAGCATGGAAATAAGGAGACATTAACACTCCAAGTGGAATACACCAACTATTACAAATAGCCTCTGGAAGTTTGTTGAAATCTGACATTGTTGATATTATTTTCAAAGTGGAATGTAAACAACATTGTTCCATTTACGAGAAGGATCGTATGCAAAAGTAATATTTAGCAGAATTTGTGCTTTTTGGAATGTACTAAGGAATTTAGAAGAAGCTCATCTTAGGTTTCTAGTCTTTGCCTGTGGCGTTAAAAGCGCGGCAAGGAGGAAATCTACCGCGTCCGAAACAATCTCCAAGACAAAGGTCGAGTTTGTGTTCGTGTTATCGACTGCGGGAGATAACCCGTCACATCGGAGAGCCCTCGGTGACGTGCGGAGAGGCTGTAACTCGAGACATGAAGCACAAGGATGTGTGGAATAAACGATCTGGCCCGTTTAAGGCTCCAGCACAAGATGATTTTCGTAGCAAATTACCAGGGCCAATCGCCGGCTTCATGCTGTGGCTATGAAGTTGAAGACGTATTCTTGGTTCTTTCGGTAAAGTGGTGAAAAAAAAGGAAATAATAAAACAATATAAATATTAAACAATATTGTTTTATATTTATATTATTTTATTATTTCCCTTCTACGTGACTTTACCGAAAGAACCAAGAATATGAATCCCTGCAGTCACGAAAGCTTTAAATCAAAATTTAAGTTGAAGACGGTTGGGCAAAGGGAAACGTGATTCATTTCTACAGAACGATCCAGTTTTTTTCTTTCTGTTTCAAAGTAATGTCTTGGAAGCGTGTTTAAAGTTTAGATGGTCATCAAACCGAATTATCTGATATAAATGGGAACCCCCTACAGTGACTGCAGGGATTCATCTTCTTGGTTCTTTCGGTGAAGTCACGTAGAAGGGAAGTAATAAAATAGTAAAAATAAAACATAATAAAATAATTTTATATTATATTATTTTATTATGTTTCTTTTTATTATTTTATTACTTCCCTTCTACATGACTTACAGGTTTGACCATTTCTCACTCGGTTGATTTCGTTTTCTTAAAGCGATAGAGACAATTGCATCCCATGTAGTTGGATCGTCGCATGCAAAGGAAGGATTTACTCTACTTTGTGTTCCGGCTTGGAATGTGGCACTGGAATGTTGAGGCTCTGCTTGGGTTTCTCGTGTTTGCCTGTGGTTGAAACAATCAGCAGGCACCGTTTTACACAAAAAAACAACCCCTTAACAAAAACAACTTGTGAGCAATTCATGCGTCTTCTTATCGACAGCGGGAGATAACCGGTAACGCCATAGATCTCTCAAGGACGCGCAGAGACGCTGTTATCAGAGGTGAAGCGGGAGATCGGATTTAGACCATTTAAGGCCACATGCAGCATGAGCTGATTTGAATACCAAATCTCCACAGTCAATCATTGCCATTTAGCTAAAACCATAAAGGTGTCGCCCTGTAATATCCAATTGCTGGCGGTGACGCCTCCACTAGAGGGAGGAGCTAGAGAGCTTGTTTTGGGGGTATTTGGCCTACTCTTCCACGCTGGTCAGACATCTTGGAAGAGGTGGGAGTACCCACACTTTGCCCCATCACATACGACCTGCCGATTGACTAAGTAAGAATTTGGGAACCCATCCTGATGGATAGAGGCGTAGATGTATAGGCAACAAGTTGAAGATGGGTGGGTCAAAGAGAAACATAATTGACTTTTACGTAAGAACCCCATTTACATTTCACATTTGTTAATAATGTTTTGAAGTGTGTTGAAGATTACATGGTCATATAACCAAACGCCCTAATACAATGCAACAATGCAATTTGAATGTACTGTATGTAGCGTCTGAATGCAAATACATCTTAAGAAGACATCGTGCAGCACAGGGGGGCATATTTGTTACGTGGAGAAAGAGTCGGTCGTGGGCAGAGGAAACAAGGAAGTTCTAGAGCCAGGCTTCAATAGAGGCGGGGAGTCAACAGCACGGACGGCTGGTGGTTCCACGTAAATTGTTAAACTAAACCAGAGTATGTTTAATGTATGACTCGTGAAGGTCAAGCACTTTATTTAACTTGCGTTGGGGAGTCACCGTGGCCTGTTTGTGTTCTGAATCACGCAGGCTTACCACGACCCCATGCTGAAGTTGGGCATCATGAACGAGGAAGAATTAACAAAGATATTTGGAGACCTCGACTCGTTTATTCCACTGCACCAAGGTAACAATGAACGTTACTACAAGCACCGAGCAAGCTTGGAACGTTGGCCCGACGTTGGTCGGACGGTTCCAACCACGTGCTAAAGTTGGCCCAACGTAGCACGTTTACTGGGAAGACATAAGACGTGACTATGTAACAGCAGCCTAACTGCGTGGCACAGTCACAGGGTTGTGAGTTTAAATCCTCTTCAGGATAGTACATTCTTGGCCCGTAATTTCATGCTGGTCAATCAAATTTGTACCATTTCGGGGGGAAGCAAGGGCGGTTGTTCTGATGGAGGGACTGCGATTACCACTCACGGCTCAGGGTTACTGACATTGCTCACCTCTGAGCAGAGACACAGTTGCGCTCTTTGGCTGCGAATGATAATTAACACGATGCAGCAGCATCGTTTTAGACCTTCTACAGTGTCAGGAACGCACGTGGTTGCACTCGGATGTGTTTTCGTGTGATGCCCCGTGTTGTTCAGCGTTATGTCCGACATTTCACACCACGTTTTTGCAGCATCTTCAGGAACTGAATTGAGCCATTCACCAATATCCCTTGAATTTTAATGCGTTGACTGCTGCTGCTGATGATGGTGTTGCCGGATCTGATCGCTTTACCGCCGATGCCGTCTCCTCCCGCAGACCTGGTCAGACGTCTGGAAGAGGCTCGTGGTCCCGACGGCACCGTGAAGGAAGTGGGACAAACCCTCGTCACGTGGGTGAGTGTTAAGAGACGAGGCCTGCACAGCTGCGGACACGCTCTGACAAATTTGATACTCACTCTTACATCACGCAATTGGAATACGCCACGTAGCTTCATCGCTTCCCATACCGGCAGCCTGATGCCCGCTGGCGGGTGCTGCTTTGACCTTGCCCCACACGGGGACAGCTGCCGTGGGGGGGTCCCCTTGGCTGGACAATGTCAGCTTATTGGTGTGGTTGGGACGAGACATAATTGCGAAGGTGCTACAAATTGCGGCCGCTACGTGAAAATCCTCATGGCTTAGGCAGCGGCTGGAAAACCATCCTAAACCAAACTATTTTTATTTTACCATTTAAGGCCCATTGAGCTATGTAGCTCTTTTTCAGAAGTAACCTGGCCACAAACGATAGCTTAATGAAGTGGCTTACCATGTTGAAATTAATACCAGCAGCCAAATACTCTAAACGCGTGACGTTGATTCTAAATGTGGAGGGAAAAACCGGAGGACCTGGAGAAAAATCCGTGCGACTGCTGGGAGAGAGACACGCAAACTACAAGTATACAGCAGGCGTCAGGGTCGGGATCGGACCCACAGCCTCCTGCATACCAGGCGAGGGAGTTAACATCTCGCCGCCGTTCCTGCCGTTGCAGCTGCCGTGCATCAACGCGTACACCAGCTACTGCGGCAACCAGGTGGCGGCCAAGGCGCTGCTGGACCAGAAGAAGCGCGACCCGCGCGTGCAGGACTTCCTGCAGCGCTGCATCGAGTCGCCGTTCAGCCGCAAGCTGGAGCTGTGGAGCTTCCTGGACGTGCCGCGCTCGCGCCTCGTCAAGTACCCGCTGCTGCTGCGCGAGATCGAGCGCCACACGCCCGCGGAGCACCCCGACGTCGACCTGCTGCGCCACGCGGTGAGGGCCCTGCCGCGGTCACTCTGATTGACAGGGGGTGGAGCTACATAATGGGGGTGGAGCTACATGACGGGGGTGGAGCTACATGATGGGGGTGGAGCTACATGACGGGGGGTGGAGCTACATGACGGGGGGTGGAGCTACATGACGGGGGGTGGAGCTACATGACGGGGGATGGAGCTACATGATGGGGGTGGAGCTACATGACGGGGGTGGAGCTACATGACGGGGGTGGAGCTACATGATGGGGGTGGAGCTACATGACAGGGGGTGGAGCTACATGACAGGGGGTGGAGCTACATGATAGGGGGTGGAGCTACATGATGGGGGTGGAGCTACATGACGGGGGTGGAGCTACATGATGGGGGGTGGAGCTACATGACGGGGAGTGGAGCTACATGACGGAGAGTGGAGCTACATGATGGGGGGTGGAGCTACATGACAGGGGGTGGAGCTACATGATGGGGGTGGAGCTACATGATGGGGGTGGAGCTACATGACGGGGGGTGGAGCTACATGATGGGGGGTGGAGCTACATGACAGGGGGTGGATGTGTGTAAGTTCAACTTCTTTCGCACCGTAAGTAACCAACCGTGCAAATCGGAGGTGCGGGGGAAGGACAACAAACTAAACACAGAAAGCAGTTGGAAGTGTCCTGCCATCGATATTTAGCCACCCACTGCGAGCATCTTCGCCGCACTAATCGGGTACTGGAGGGAAATATTTTAAATCCGTTAATGGCGCTCCCGTTTCTCCTTGTCACTGCAAGGGCCCCTTTGTGCACAGCCAAGATGCACGTTACTTGTAGCCATATTACTTGTGAAACCCAATGCGGCCCTCGGTGAGGAGAGGGCTCCTCAACCCGTGTTGTCAGGTCATCACCCCTGAGAGGTGGCTGAGTGGGATCCGTGAAAGGCAAACAAAACGTGGCCATACTTGGCATCGGGGAGAAGCGGCAAACTGGTAGGAGGCTAAGCACACTCGCCAACCAAACACCAGCCCTACCCCTTAAGCTAAACAAACACCACCCTCTCGCACAATCCTTCCCCTTATTCTGCCTGCCCCTCTCCACCTCCCCACGAACATTGCTCCATCTGACCGCAGGTCAAGGAATAGAACCCCTCGGCGAGCGTGTTAAACATTTGGCCTCCCCCGTCGCCCGTGATGACTCGCGTGCCTTCCCATGACCGCCGAGCTGATGCCGCTTCTTTGTCCACCCCCCCTCCCCCCTCAGACGGAGATCGTCCGGGGCATCCTCTCGGAGATCAACTTGCGCACGGGCGAGTCCGAGTGCTGCTTCTACCGCGAGCGGCTCGAGTTTGTGGACGCGCGGCACCGGGACCCGCGCATCGCCTCGGCGCGTCTCCTGCACTGCCACGGGGAGCTGCGCAACCAACGTGGCACCGTGAGTGCCCCCACGCACACTGCACGGCTCGGCGAGTTGGCCGGGCGGTAGCGCATTTGCCGCTCGTTGTAGCAGAGGATTCGCGCTTCAAGCCCTGCGGCCCGGCCTAGTTAATGCTGCGGGCGTGTTCACCGAAATAATACACTCGGTGCCTGCTTCGCGGTGAACGATTGAAGATCACGTGATGTTATTTGAAAAAGACTCGGTCATGTGCGCAGGCGTCATGGTCAAAAATTGACCAAATTCGAAAAAAATTACCTGCAACTTATTTAATGGGATTAAACCACATGGCACCATCACCGCTTTCCGGCAGACTATGCCGGTCTGTGAAGCTTAGCCCCTTCGCGATAGCTTGTGCTACGAGAGTGATGCGAATACCAAATGTGCTCTTAACTGTTATGTCCTTTTCACTTCTCTCTGCCCACCGCGGCATCTTTCAATGCATGATGTTTAACATCCATTCATCCTGGTCACTTGTTTCATTAATTTACATCGCACATCCGTGTCAAAGACCCATGACCACATGACCCAGGATGTGCCCGATCCCATAATATACCGGAAGCTCAGCAGGGGTTGGGTGCGAATGGTGCATGGATGGATGACCACCATGCATAACAGGTGCTATAGGCTGTGGGGCTCGGTTTTGGCCATCGGAAGGGCAGTACAGCAACATCAATTGTTGTATTGTGCTTCTGTGCTCCCACTTCTACACTCCACCTTTTAAGGAAAACGCACTGGCCAGCGTGGTCAAATAACACCCCACTATCCGCATGGCATGGGGAGGCACTCATCCAGTAGCGGATTGACAAAGGGCTGTACATGTGCATTCAATAAAAAAGCTAAGTACCCCCATTTTTCAAACGGCAATGCAAATAATGCTCGGTTGAGCATGGAGCCACTTAGACCTGAAAATACATTCCAGGTTTTTACTCTGGCATGATTACCAACAATATATACATCATTTGTATTGATATTGATTGGGTAGTAGCCGAACACACAAGCTACGGAAGCACTTATTTACACGCACACGGCACAGAAATGCACGAATCTCATCGGACTAAAACACACTTTATTTACGCATGTACACGTGTGCGTCCGTGCGCGTGTGTGTGGCCACCCAACAGAAGCTGCACGTGTTTCTGTTTGACGAGGTGCTGGTGCTCACTCGGCCTGGCGCACGCGGAGAGAGAAGTTTCTACCAGGTGGGAGACGCCGTGGCCCGAACAAGCAAACTTCCTACCCGGCACACGATCGATAGTGAATTTACTTATCAACGTTTAGCAGTGCAAATACGAGCCATCGAGCCGGTTGGCTCAGGTTTGATGATTCAATTAAAGTCTGCAACCCCCCAGTAATTTTGGCTGTTAATGACACTCACGTCATTGTCGTCATTTGCAATATCAGACGATCAGGTGACGGTGTCATGGTCCCAATTTTATAATGACCTTCGACTTCGAGCACTTCAACACCGACGTTTGCCATTCCTGATCCGTGCAGCCCCAGCTGGCTTTGACAATGTCGATCATAATAAAGCTGCTACTACTATCGATAACGATGATACAGTTCGATTACCTTTTGGATTCGTCGAGCATCTAAATCAGTGGTCGGCAACCAAAGTAACAGGAAGAGCCTTTTTTTTCCAGTTCGGTAAAAAAATGCAATATTTCAAGAGGCACAATGCGTGTCAATAATGTCACGAAGCAGTCCTAAAAGCGGGGCATGCAGCTCAGGAGCCGCAGGTTGCCGACGCCTGCTCTAAATGCAACCGCATTTTAAGAACGTACAAAAACAGCGGGCGCAGTTGGCCATTAGCAGAGGAAAACAGATGGGTCTTGAGCCAGGATGGGGGCAGGGCTCCACTCGGTGCCTCGGTGCGTGAATTGCGCACCTTGATCCGTGTCTTTGATCATCGCACAGGTGTTCCGGCAGCCGGTCCCCACGGCGGAGCTCCGCCTGGAGGACATCACGGAGCCAGGGGGAAGAGGCTCCTTCCGTGGACCCTTCGGGCCAAACGATCGTGGTGAGAATTCAGACATCGTTTTCTGTCGTTGCCTTTGATTCCACTGTGAGTCAACGCTCATGGTGGCACTGACGGGAATGATGACACTCGTAGCTGTAGTAGTAATAATTAACAAGAATCATTTGTTTTTTGAAAGAGCGCCATTTACAACGGGGCATCTCATAGCACTTTATATCTCATCTCAAACATTTGAATGGGGCACCCCAGGTGGCAGATGTCTCTGTGTGGCACAAGATGTGACCTCAGCACCACGCCTGCAAGCGAAAAATAGTTTAGCAGGTCGGGGTGGGTGGTGGGGGGGGGGTGACAATCGCTTCGTCTAATCCCGATGATCGAGTAATTTGCCGATGACGCCGGCACCGCGAGTTTGACAACTCTTCACGGTGACGCCGGTACCCCCAGGCAAGAACGCGTTCCGCGTGGGCGTGGGGCCCATGGGCCGAGGCCACACCCTGCAGGCCGACAGCGCCTACAACAAGCGGCGCTGGCTCGCGTGCCTGGGGACCGCCCTGCATGGACGCGCCCAGGGCACGGGTCCCCCGCCGAGCCCCCCCGAGATCCCCGCCGACGACAGCGGCCCCCCGACGCCCGGCGAAGCGTACAGCGACGCGGAGGAGGCGCCCGGGTCGGTGCGCTCCGACATGGAGCTGTCCCTGGGCGGATTCTCCGACTCGGAGTCCGAGGTGAGCGACATAGGAGCCGGAGGTGAAGGCGATCGCGGACGCCCCTCGTTGTGACGCGGCGGTAGACGCGCGTTCCCGTTCCCCGAAAAGCGCCGCGTTTAGCGAAAACCGCGTTCAGCGACGAATTGCCGTACTGTGATTCCTCGCACTGTGAAATCAGCTTGCAGTCATACCATGGCGGGACAGAGAACTGATGAGGATGCGCCGCCGCATGATAAGCCACTTCGTTGAGCAATCATTTGTGCCCAGGTGGCTCATCAAAAAGAGCTGTATAGCTCAGTGGGCCTTACCTGGTAAAACACAAATAGTTCAATATTTTTTTATCGTGTCGTTTCAGCGGTCCGAAGTGTCCTCCGTCATGGACACGAGTGAAGTTCTCCACATGACCTCCTGGCGAGGCCGGGAGGGCCCTGGGTTTCTGGACGAGATGTCCAGGGACTGCTTATCTGACCGCGAGGAGGTCTCCAGCGGGCAGGAGGACTGAAGGGAAACGTCCTGTCAAGGGGGTCCTTCACTCCCTCCTCTTCACACGACATCCTCCTATTGAATCATCACCCGACGACTTTCCACACACAGAGACGAATGACCAGCATTGACAACATTACCGTTGTTGATCAACGTTGTATGACAATAGAAAAAGAGGCCGACGGATGGTATGGGTCCTTTTTTTCTGGCTCCTATAATACCCCTTTTCCACTGGCACAGCCGAGCCGAGCCAGCGCGGAGCCCTCACGGTACTACGGGTAGCTTCCTCCCACTGGCAATTTGCCGCGCCGAGCTAGAACCAAACCGTGACCCACTGTAAATCTAGCTCCGGGGGGCCAAGCAGGGCCAGGGGCAGGGTTAATCACACGTGCATTGCGTGCGACGTCAATCGATGCAATTCCAACGCAGCGTCACCGCGGCATCTGCGCGCGCCTCGACTCGTTTATTGCGTTAGCGACGTCAGCGGCACGGCTCGGCTACTGCAGTGGAAAAACAACCTGACTCCTTCTCGGCCGCGCCCAGCTGGCTCGGCCTGGCGCAGCTACTGTAAGTTGTCCAGTGGAAATGAGGTATTTGCTGTGCGGTGTCGGCAGAAGGTATTGCCACACCTGAAGTGCCTTCAATGATATTAACCAGAGGCTCGGAGCGCCCCGCCAACTGCTCTTGGGGTTGTTAGTAAAATGCTGATCTACGCATTCATAGTCATGTTTCTTTGTAATATTTTAAATGTTGGATGTTGGGTACCGTATTGCTGTGAGTGTTAAATACAAAGACCGCAAAGCAATCAATTGTTCTCTTTAAAAACGCCAGTTCATCAAAACTTCCAAACGGGCAGCTGGTGTTTTAAATGACAACGTCTTTGGTTGGATTTTTAACAAGAGGACTTGTGAGATGGAATGCCATCTCTGTAATTGTCGTGAATTACGTTTTTTGTTTTAATCTCAATCTCGCTTAAAACAGTTGCTCGCAGTCATGAAGAGGTTCCTTTTCAGTGACCAATTACCTCCCTGGTTTAATTTGCCAGCCTAACTCTATGGATTGCCGTGAGCGAGTTCAATCTTCCGTAGGTGTTGCACTCATTATTTTGGGCTACGACAGCCTTTTCGCATGTTTCGCTACCCACGTTTTAACGAGGGCGGAGGGGAGAGGGGGGGTTCGTGTAGACATCGGCTAATTGGAATTCGCCGTTAAATTGTGGCGGCGTAGTACAACGGACGCAGATCGCATACTCCTCTAGACGCTGTGGATCATTCGTAACGCCACCGCAAATGCAAACGCAGTTGTTTCACGGCAGGTTTTTGTCAATGAATTTCACCCTTCCACTGTGCTAGTCTGAGTCTAGTTTCTCATCTGCCAGTTGCACGCAGCGCTATGGGGGCGGGTTAGAATGCGAATGTTTATCACCGATGGCATCACACCTCGCGTGTGAAACGAGGCTCGTATGGCATTCGTTTTTTTAGTGCACGAGCCACCAGGGATGTATAACCTCACGGTTTCGCGTAGACTTTAACCTTCACGAACAAAGGCTTGTCAAACCTTGGGCATTTCTCCAAACACCTTAAGCCATGCAAATATAAGTCTAATAGTGCCACATATGCCTGTGCCAAGACCAGGAGCCTAACGAAATGCAAAACAAGCCAATCAGACTTTAGCACAGACCGAACGCATTCTCCCGCGCCAGCAGACGGAGCCAAGATGAGGCCACGCAGTCCGATCTCAGTGGATATCTGGCGCCGGTGCTCACTCGAATGCGAAGTGCATACGTGTGTTTTTTATTTTATTTATCTCCGCGTTGTTGACAAATGCTGTACGGGCACAGTGGGCTTTATTTTATTTATTTTTTGTAATGAAAACTATTGTGTTGTGGGACGACATTCAGCCACGTGACATGTGATGCCAGTGTTTATCAATTAGGGTGCCACTCAGGGTCACACCTCCTGCTCTTATTCTTTTGCCTGTTAATCTGAAGTGTTGCGAGTGTCAAGGCAATCCCTCAATATTTCCTGGTTGCTCAACATCGGCGCTAAATTCGTTCCGGTCGATACCCACCGTGGCATCGAAGCAAAGAGGAGGAGGAGGGGATCCTGAGCAAACTGTGGATATGAATCGAGTAGAATAAGATTCTGCTGACTTTTCCACGAAAAGTCACAACTGAAACTTGACTTTTCCGTTTGCGTATCGAGTGGCACCCTACTTCCTCCATACATGGTATGGAATATCATGTAATGTGGTTTGTCTCCGCAGTGGCATTGTCAGCATTTGCTTTGGTCCAATATCCTCCTGCCTTTTTAATATGGCAGTTTTAACGACTCTTTGCGAGTTTCCCAAAACGCCCGACAAATTGGGCACTTTAAAGCGATAATAATCACGACCCAGACCACGCAGTGCTGGGTGGAAGCAGGTCAGCACAATAGCCAACTGCATTGCAACGAGTTACATTCGAACAGAGAATATTTCAGGGATTCCTTAAGGGAAGTGGACACCGCAATGGTGGTGTGATGGTGAAGGCTTCTCTCTGCAAGGCATTGAGCTCCGATCGAGTAATCCATGCCAAACGGAGTAACGATCAAAGTTCTGCTCGGTCACCCCGGAAGCGTGGAGTTGGCAAATCCGATAATCTATGCAATCGATCGTCAGTTCGATTGCTCTACTAAACGGTCGACGAGATAAAAAACAGTGGGGTAAATAAAGTTTTACCTCTATTCCCTGCGTGGGCCGCTGAATGTGGAGGTGATGGAGTGAGCACCAACAAGGCATCTGAGCGAGTGGCGTCTTTGTGGCATGCCAGCGTCGTGAATAGCTTTGCAAATGTATCTTTGGCATTGAGAGTCAAGAATTGTTCGTTCGGGGCATTGGGTTCCATATGTATGTACGTACGTGTGTGCGTTTTTTAAGCTTGTTTGTGCTTATTAAGATTCCACTTTCTTGGAAGGGAAATTGAGCCAAAGGATTAATCTTGGTTGATGTAGAGTATTCGGTGATTAATTAAGTGCAAACCGGCCTGTGTACAAATACACAATCCTATGACGATATAGCAGTTGGCATATGTACAGGAGCCGTAAATGATTTCACTGCTCATTGATGCAATTTAAGAGGGCTGATTAATGTGCAGATCTGAACTGGGTATGACCACCAGAACCAGATATGGCCCATCACTGAGAACTCAAAACCGTTGAGACCACCACTGGTACATTTTACATGTTTACCGATTATCTTAGCGCATTGTGCCTACTTTACGTTCAAATGGCAATCCGAATTTACAAGGTAATTCAATCAAAAGCAGTTTTAAATCGAAATCATTTTATTATTGACGCAGTATCTGCGTAAAATAAGAAAGCATTGGTTGAAGTATAAACCTGAAAACAATTGGTCCTTAAGTACTAGAGGTCACTGAATAGCCACATTATGGTATTGCACTCCAGTAATCTTAGCGTTGTGTACCGGCGACAGACAACATCTACTGTAGCAGAGATTTTTTCGAAATCTTGCCTTGAAATATATTAATCTAGTCAAGATTTGAGTCTTAAAGTAGATTTTAAGCTGCAAGTGTATATAGTATCATTTGGCATCTGGGGGTTGTTTGCGTAGGGGTTCTGTAGCATTCACGGATTAATCAGAACTCTATCCTGCAATTTGGAAAACGTGCCAAATAGGTCGAATACTTACCTTGCCATGCTACTACTTTGCAGAAGGTCCTCCACTGCAGAGAGCTTTAGAGAGCCCCTCTAGAAGGTAGTGTGGCCTACTCTTCCACTCTGACTTGAGGTTTTGGATGAAGCGGGACTACCCACACTTTACCCCACCAAATATACGACTTGTCGATCGACACGTCTGCTGATGGATAGGCTTCCGCGCCAGTAGATCGAATCAAACCGGTGACCTCTGGTTTCGCTGGCCCACCGCACTGCTAACTAACCCTTAGACCACTGCAGCATCATTGCCAAATTAGTATTCCCTTAACAAAAAAGAATGAGACTTGGAGAAAAGGAGTATTATGGTATGGGGTGTATTCGTTGCCAGGTTTTCAGCTGCATGAGTTAAGAGTCAAGGTAAGACTGATTAAAATGAAATTCCATTCTCTACCCCTTTGCTGTTTCTCCAGAAGGTGTTTTTTTCAATGAAAAATTACAATGGCATTTTTGTTTGATGGCATAATCTCAGCTGACATTGCAAAACCGTGTCGAAATACTCTTCCGTCATGCGATACCAAATCGTGGTTCATGTGTTAAGGTCGATTGAACAAGACTATTATATTTTTTTATTATAAGTTGTATAATTTGGCGTTGGCACAAACTAAACATCACGCCTGGTTAATTTGTCTTATCATTGATAGAGTTCTTTTTAATGAAATTTTATTTTAATTTCTTTTAATATACAGTACTACAAAGGTAATTAGGTTGTTAGCTCTTAAATACATATTTAATTTTTTATTGATTTCTGATGGTATATTTAATCAAGCATGCAGATACCTGCAGTTTTAAATTAGCTCGTAAGTTATTTTCACTTTATATAGTAAAAGTACTATATATATAAAATGAATACGTGAGGGTTTTTTTGGTGACAATTTTCAACCATACTTAAGACGATATTGAGAGAGAAATGAACAAAGAATCGTAAGACTGATAGAAACTGACAAGAACAAGTCTGTGTTGAGTGTTTATAATGTTTCAAGGGTTTCCAATGGATTTCACATCTCATTTTTATATACGGTACAACATAGATCTGGTCCGCCAGGCACTGACGTACAGGCGGGCACATGGCAAGGTCATATACGTGAACATCCATGGAAAATGACAGCGACACCATGCATATATACTGCACTGGGATGTGGGCAGTTCATTGGTCAGGGAGGATATGTGACGTTTATAATGTCTGCTTCCCACCTCTTAAGCAGCACCACTGTATGCAGGGTAACGCGTGTAAATGTTACCTTGGTTTAAAACTTGACAAAGAGGTTTGGCAGTTTTCGTTGCCTTTTCCCCATGGTGTGGTGAATCGATGTCGTAAATTGGATTGTTGGAAGACGTGAATTAAGGCGGCGTGGCTCAGTTGCCATAAAGTTGGCGTCGCGAAAAAAGTCATTGCCTTGAAATGCAATTCGCCGAGAAAGACTTGGAAAGTTGGCTGCACAGTAAGAGAACGTGTTGTTCAGGTGGTCTGCGGATGTTATATGGAGGTGCTTGGAGCACCGTTGGTCGGAAAGGAATGCACTGTACACTCTATATGGCAGGTGGTCTCAAGTCCTACATCGCAAATGAAAAGGGTGCAGACTCGTACGTGACTGCATATTACACTCCAGTCGTAACTCACAACGTGGCTTACTTTCAGCCTGGAGCTGTCTCCAGAGAATAATATCTGCCTCCCAGTACGACTGGTAGTGGAAACGCTTTAAAATACAGGAGATCTTCCTTTTCAAAAATACTAAGACCACCGGTCATGTATGTATGTGTACCGCTGTATCGTGTAATGGTAAGGTTTGTCGTGAATGAAGGTATTGGGAAAGGGATGAACAGGACAAAACAAATGAACGGAAACACCGCTTCAGGTCTGCATTTAAGTATTATTATTTTTTGCCAAGAAACACAATTTCACCTCAGATTAGTTGAGGTTCTAGGGTCATTATAGGAAGTGCGTGTCAACAGGCAAAGCTTTACCACCGTCATAAAACACAACGGAATTATCAAACAGTTTAGTTGTATTTTAGTGTGAATGCAAAACACTCGGCATCTACAAAACTGTGCTTATTTTTACATGAAATTACTTCATGCTGGCCTTTTGCAGTGGTTCCGTGACTTTGTGTCCAATGGTTAAAAAAAGGTATTTTGAGAGTACAGCTTTGGTGACTCAGAGGACTGATGTCACGTTTGTGTGGTAATGTTTTGGTTGTAATGTTTTAGGGAATGTTTAGTTTTTTAGTTAAGAGGGAACGACTTCAAATGGTCCACACAAGTAGCAGGTGGCTGATGAGAGGCACCGCGCATCAAGGTGACTGACTGGGCCATCGGCCAAACAATGGAGAGAGGAGGAAAGAAAATCACCTCTTAAATTTCAACAACCACGTCTCCACTTTCGGATGGAATTCCACCCTCCCCAACCGGCCCCCCTGATAAACTTAAAATTTTTCACAACAAATTATTTTTCATCGCCACTCTCGTTACAAAGTGCCCGGTTTTGCTCTCGATGTACACTGGCTTGGAGCAGTAATCGCCACGAGGTGCTTGTTCAGTTATCTTCCCCCCCCCCCCCAGGAGGTGATTTCAAGAGACAGTCTCGGAAACGATTTCGATGGATTCCTGAAGTCAAAATTCGATTCCAATGTCACATTAACAACCGCCACGATTTACAAAGCGTGTTTATGACTTTGGCGTCCATTCTATCAGCTGAACGATTCAGCATGCTGCTGCTGTACAGCGTTGCAGTGGCTGCACGAGTGCAAGTGACTCGTGTGTTTTATTTTACGATCGTAGAAAGTGGCCGAGAGATAGGCGACAAGGTGGCGTCTTGATTTGTTACTGACTGTGCTTGGGTCGCTTTCTTCTTCTGTATGGGGCATGTACATTTGTAAAGTACACTGTAAATTGTTACCAAATAAAATGTTGTAAAATCGTATTTTTGTTTTTGTTTAAAGTCTAACCTTGACCGTACAATTTTTGTGACCGTGGTCGATCTCACGTATGCCACCTTCAAAGACGGTCAGACCTAGCCTGGTTATCAATGGCACGCGACTGCGGTGTGCGTGCCAGCTCTGCTGGCCAGAATCCCTCTGAAACCTTGTTGTTTGGAAACTATAAAAGCCGAAAAAATGTTGTCACACGCATAAAGCTGCGGGCACTTCATCTCAAACCACTTTATGGTGCAAAGCACCCAAATGTGTGCAAACTCTTGGCGCCAGCTGTTACAGGGCACTCGCGGTTGTGGGGAATTTACTGGTGCTGTATAGAGCAGTGGATTAACCATTGCTGCTGATGAGGAACACGTGGATTCGAGAACATATGCAGGTTACAGTTGTTTGTAATTCAAACAGCTAGGAGACATACGTGGGCCCGGGTAGGACGTCTCATGGATAGAAGGGACGATGACCGACGGTCGAGTATAAAGACGGAGTGGCAGGCAAGGGACGGAACGAGTCTGAGAGAATGCCCACAGCTCGCGTTTAGGTAATTGGTGGATTGTTACATCGCAAGATTCGTGAGATATGGTCGACGGCTTGTGGGGGCCTTCATCCAGCAGTGGATAAACCAAGGCTGATCGTGATGGATTCAGTAGCACGGGTTGACTGTACTCTAAAGCGACAGACTTGGCTTGTGTTAGCGTCAAGAGCACATGTAGATATCCCCATGAATTGTCATCATCATGTTGGATGAGATAAACCAGAAACCATGATGTGACTTATCAGTGAAACCCGTGACATAACGAGAAACTAGAACTGGCACGATTTGTCGGCTAAATATTATAACCAACTACTTGCGTGGTCAATTACTCGGGCACCTTGAAACATGGTGGGAAATTCCATCCTGCCTCCCGAAGGCAGGAAACCCCCGAAACACCATGCCCAGCGTGACGCGGCAGACGATGTCGATGATGTCGTCACGAAGCCCCGCCCAACACCTCCCGTCCAGCAGCACACGTGGGAACACAGGTGAAAATGTCAAACGATCAGCTGAATTATAAAAAAAACAATCGGAGTAATAGATGACTTTAATAACCGGTTAGCCAAGCTACACTTAAAGGAAATATTTTAACATGTTGAAATAAGCGTGCCACAAACAGAAAATAGCTTGCAGCCAATATTTAAACAACTTCAACCTTAAACCATTTGGAAACATCAGATGAGGTATAGTCAACAGTGTTGACCTGAAATTCATGATAAACTTCAGCCATACTAAAATCAATTCTCCCCAAGCCATCGTCATCAGTGTGATTCAACAATTCAACTCGCCACCACTGCCCATGAGCAAGAACCAAAAATACTCAAATTCACCGTACAAGCTCCCTTTTATGCGCGACCTCTACTATCTGTAACCCTGAAGCTGTTGGTGAAATGTCCTCCTCCGGAAAATACACTGCCGTTCTCTCTGTCGCTCACACACTCGGTCACTTGTTCCGCTGTGCGCGGATGAGTCTGCCGATGGAATGGCAGCCCAAAAGGGGTGAACACCATTGAGAAAAGGGTGACCACCGTGAAGATGGAGAGATGAGATCAGTTCGTGTGTGCGGAGTCTGCAGGATGGTGAAAAATGACCGTGCCACAGAGAGGCCTTAATCCAGCAGTGGATATATCGTGGCTAATGAGGGTGAGTATTGTAATTGCTGATGGTGAGGATGCTGCTGCAGCTGCAGGTTACGCTACACTTGCCACACATATGTATGTTCAACTTCTTTCGCGCCGTACGTAGCCAACCATGCTAAATCACACGATACTACTCCGCACCGTCCTTGTATCCACGTTTGTGTGCGGATAAGAGGAGTCGCATGACAAACTCATCCTGTCATCCTGAATTAATTTCCCAGATTAAGATCAGTTCTTTTCTCAGTTAATAGGAGGCGATCTTCGCTCAACGGCAATAGCTTTACTGTGATTATGAGCGAGGTCATGGTGACTTGTGAAAGGGATGCCACCACATATCATCATCATCATCCCTCCCCTCTTTCTGATGAATCACGCATGTCCTTAAAACCATCGACTTTAACTGAGTTCGCAATTGAGGCTGTTGGGAATCTGAATACTCATGCCAACAAACCTTTTCACTTGTAGTGAGCGACTTCCGAAACACTTCGTCTTATTTATTCTCACACTTTAAGCACAACATTGGGCGATACATCGATGTAACGTTCTACGCAGCTACACAAAGCCGACCCTTCTACACAACCCCATCGGTCGGCGTCCAACTACACAGCGGTCTGATGAGCGCAGCGACGGCGACGATGAGAGCCTTGCAGAAGATCGGCCACGTGGCCGGACGACGAAGAGAGAAACTGATGAAGACCACAATGTAGGCCGGTGGTTGCCCCAACTTTATATTCATGATATTATTCTCTACTTTATAAAGTTCCTTTCATATTGAAGCATATCAAATCGCTGTACATAAAAATAAAACTACACTCACGAGTATAGATACAATTATAAGCAAAATAGAAACCTAATAATATCAACGACGACTCTAGAAATTCCAATAAAATGAAGAACTAAAATAATCATTGCAGAGTAATCCAATCATACAACAAAATATATTCATACTCTTTGGTTTTTTCGGTAAAGTCAAGTAGGTAAAAAATAAAATAAATGAAAACTAAATTAAATCACAACGTTTCAGAGGCAACACAAGCTTCCGTCTTCAGGTGGGAAAGCTTTTAGAAATGCCAGCAGGCAAGGCATTAAGAGGAATCTAACATAGATTAAATAATGGCATGCACCAGCCTCTCTCGGCATCAGGAAGTGACAGCAAAAGTCTTAGTCGAGCTATGTTGCGTACATGAATAAACTAGATTTTGGTAATATTACGTACATGAGAGTAAGCTCAAATCCAACATTTTTTTTTTATAAATTATGAAAACCCCCGTAAGAATGTTAATATGCATGTTGAAATTATTCCGCACCGTACATAGCCAACTGTGCTAGGGTGGGGGACGACGACAACAAACTAAACACAAAAAGCAGTTCTAAAGAAATTCGTTTTCAATCTAGATGATTTAAAAGTGCATAGCTCCAGTGGTGTCCTAATATCGGAAGGAAGAGTGTTCCAGACGGCCGCAGAAGCGCATCTGAAGGCGCGCGACGCAGTGACCGCCTTTGTTCGATCCCGAGCCAAAAACCGCTGCTGGGAGGATGACCGGAGTCCACGTGATGGTTGATGCACAATAACAACAACACACACAGAGGTGCTGCTCACAAACAGCAGAAGTCACACCCCTCCCCTCTCCCTCCACCATCCTACAATTGTGTCTTTGTATCACTGCTGCCTGAAGCGGACGGCTACACTTTCAACTCTTTTTTAAATCCTTTATATTAAGTTCGCTTGCTTGCTTACGACCGTGCAAATCTTTCGGTCGTTTTTTAACCCACTTCCCGTGATCCAATCGAGCTGACATTTTCCACACAGACTCGTTGTGCGTGACAATCAATGTTCGTGAAAAAATATTTCCAAAATTGTACACTTTTTAGGACAAAAATATTATATTTAATTACCAATTGCTTAATGGTGCAATGCAATCATCTGACCCATAGGTGGCAGCCATCTCAAGCCAGAGGACGAGAGGACTCTAGCCGCCACGCATATAAAGGATTTATGGTGAAAAACTTTGTTTTTACGGGTTATACTTGTTTAGTTGGTGGTCTCATCAATAACACGACCAGGTGTTCAGCCCTCTTCTGAGTAAGGTGGTCTAGAAGAAGGCCGAGCGCATATTGTGCTGCATGTGGTGGGCACGTGACACGCACGCAAATGTCTGAATGTGAGTCTCTTCTCTCTGCCGCGTGTGAGAGCAGCTTCTCTTTCATTCTAGATTTGAAGCTTTCGTGACTGCAAGGATTCATACTCTTAGGTTTTTTTGGTAAAGTCACGTCGGTAAAAATAAATAATAAAAATAATAGAAATAAAATAATAAATCACGACGTTTCGGAGGCAACACAAGTCTCCGTCATCAGGTGGGACCGTCACAGCTAGATGTATTCTATCAAGTGAGGCAAAATTCCAAGAGACAAGCTCTTAAATACAATTTCGATTTAAAGCTTTCGTGACTGCAGGGATTAATCTTATTGGTTCTTTCGAGGGGAGGGGGGGAGGAGCTTATCTGAATGTGGTAGCCAATCAATGGAACGTGTTGGGGGGTGGGCGGGGCTAAAAGAGAACAATCGACTTGGGGTTGTAACCGGTGTTGGCTGACAATCCAAATACACAAAAGAGCAGTACTGTTAAACACTGGGGATGTCAACAACTCGGTAAAGTAGAATAGTACCTGTCAAATAAGATGGTACAAATATGTGTTAGTTAAATCTTTTTTACATGGTTAATAACATCTTTCCAATAATTACTCAGTTTGTACCCATGATCACGGTTGAGGTTATGTCTGTGTTGGTATATGTTCTCTTTGAGCAAAGTGTGTGGCGTCAACTCAAGGCGTTTAAATGGAAACCTCCCGCAACAGTGACACCAGCTGGCAGCGTTCTACGCTTCACCCAATTCGTCCTGGGGCTCTTATCTCTCGCGACGACTGCTTTGCAGTCGTCATTCGCACGAGCAGTTAGTCTCAAGGACTCTCACCAGTGCCGGATTATCCTAGTAGCACAAGTAGCTACTACACGTGTAGTAGTAGCTACATCTGTAGTAGCTACTAAATAAGTAGCTACTATAGATGTAGTAGCTACGGGCCCCGCACTTTCAAGGGCTCCGCGCTAAATGCTTTCAAGCTATCAATTCCGGTTCAGTGATTCTGCACTTGCTGTATTACTATAGTACTATACCGCCTTCAACTTTTATGAACGACTGGGTGTTTAAGGTTAGTGATTTGTCGTATTATCTGGCTGTATAGCAAATGAAAAAATACAATTACTTTAAAATGCAAGTAAAAAATGCATGTATTTTCATATTTATGTGGGTTTTTTTAAAGTAGGGCCCCTTT